ATTAATAAATTTAAAATATTTTTAAAAATAGATAATATTATTTTAACGTTGGCTTGCCTAGCAAGTGAAATGTTAGGTGCCATCACGGTCCGAATGTGGGAATTTCGGGTCGTGACACCACTACAGTTGCCCATAATCAAATCCAGCACCGACAATTAACCTCATATCAACTAAAACTTTGTTCCAAACCTTCACAAACTGACAACGATACAAGAAACATGAAGATCCCATGACCATTCACTCAAATAAACAAGTCACATCTAATGCCACTTGGGCACACACCTCGGAAGCTAAAACCGAATAAGCACAACACGAATATGACCAAATAGGCAAAGAGAAACACATGAGAGAATTATCAAACAAGCCCAACATGCACAACTCCCTATAAGTACCATACTACGAATTAATTCCACAAGGGAAAATCAAAATATATGAACTAATCATCAGGATCTCATCCTAATACAACCCCACCACGGCATGCAGGCCGGTTCAACCTTATAAAATCGCATGAAAACGCGATGATCCCATCCTCAGCTCTGAATCACAAGTAGAATACACATCATACCAACTAAAACCCTCCACCAATTCGATTCCGTAAAATAAAATCACAACACGTAACGAACCCTCATACTAGTAGAGCATCTAAATTACAAATCGTAACCAAACCATCCAGGGGTCACAACACAGAAAGTCACTTCAAGTCTCATATCTCTCAATAGTGAACAAAACAAAGCGATAGACACGAGATACCACTATAGACTCTCCTAACAGGGGTAATCACATAATCAGAGTACAAAATCACAAAACTCACCCATATGTGAAGCAAGATAAGAAGACTCATCCCGATAAGCAGAACCAAATCAAAAAAAGAATGATGCTCCTTTACAACAATCGAAACCATACTTGTAACGACTCTATCTGGTGTAGCGGCCTCAGCCCTACCATAGAAAGCATATCAAATGGGTCGGTCCTCCCCTTCTAGGGCGCCCTCTACCCGCCTGTTCTCCACCCCTAACTAGCTGTGCAGGTGGAGTAGCAACTGGAATAGAGCCTGTAGCCTGAGTGCTTTGATAAAATCCGCTCCTCCTGAGTCTGGGACAATCTTTGATGATGTGCCTAGTATCACCATACTCATAACAACCCCTCTGCAGGCGTGGCTGCTTGTATTGAGTCCGAACCGAATAACTAGAATAACCGTTATAGGAACCCCATGCCGGTGGTGTACTAAAAGATGACTGCCCCACATGAGTACCCTAACTAGTTGGAGCACCACGAGTAGTTTGAAGTGCGAATTAGACTGCCCGACTGCCCGAGCCTCCTACACGATGGGTCATAGCGGAAGAGTAGAATCCACTGAACCCTCCAGAACCTCGAGACCTCTTGGTCTCCTTATCCTCCCTCTCCTCACCCCGAATACGCTCTAACATCCTGACAATCTCCACCACCTGCTGAAATGGAATATCAGTCTGCAACTCCCGAGCAATACAGAATCTAAGATCATAACTGAGCCCCTCAATGAATATGTGGACTCTCTCTCTGATTGTAGGAACCAAGGTAGGTGCGTGATGGGATAACTCACTGAACCTGTTGGCATACTCTAACACAATCATGGTGCCCTGACCCAGCTGCTCAAACTCTATACGCCACACATCCTGGAAGGTCTGGTGAACAAACTCCCTCAAAAACATCTCTAAAAACTAAGCCCAAGTGAGTGGTGCTACATCGGATGAAATGTAGTAAAAGCAACTCCGCTCACCTCTACAATACCCATGGTGCGGAGAATGCAGTGATATATCACTACTAGAAATTTGGCAAAAACCGACCAAGGTCGACCGACCAACTTTGGTCCGTCAAAAACCGACCAACTTTGGTCCGTCAAAAACTGACCAACTTTGGTCCGTCAAAAAACCCACCAAAATTGGTCGATTTTTCAATTTTTTTTTTTTTTACGAAGTCGCTCTTCTTTGGCGCAACAATGCGGGAAACCATTTTTGAGTCCCGCAAAATTTATGTTTCAAGAAACCGACCAACTTTGGTCGGTTTTTCAATTAAAATAAATAAAAATTAATATTAAAAAAACCGACCAAAATTGGTCGGTTAATTCGGCGGGTCATTTAAAAAAACCGACCAACTTTGGTTGCTAATTTCACTTTTTAATAAAACCGACCAACTTTGGTCGGTTATTTTCGTGCGAAAATACAATTAAAGAGTATAAATCAAATAAAAGACAGTCTTAAAACAAAATGTACCAATGGTCTAGTGGTAGAATAGTATCCTGCCACAGTACAGACCCCGGTTCGATTCCCAGAT